TATTGACGCTAGCGACAAACTTTTATATGGAAATTGTAGATCTCGTCGCCCTCTACAAGAAAGGTCCAGTGCAATTTTCCCGTATGTCCAACGGTTTGGGAGTTATTGGCCAAAAACGAAAATTTGAAAGAAATTGAAGGGGTACCCCTTGGAAAAATCTCGGAAAAATCGAAAATTTTTTTTTGTGGTTTATTATTAGCAAGGTTCTTCCGACGTCTGATTTCTTTTTAAAAAATGCATTTCTAAAGTGCATAGACTTTTGGGATTTACTGTATAGCCAATACATCCTTAAACTGTGTCACTGAGCAGTTTGCATCTAATAGCCGCGGTGGTGGCAGGTCTTTAGATCGGAGACTTTATACTTTGGACGATGTAGAATACGAGGCTTATTACGCGTATCGACCGGTTGGAAATAGCCTTTTGCAGGTCAGCACGCAACTTTTCGCGTTAACCGTTATCGACCCCTGGCTTGGTCGAAGGTTCGAATGCCTTCGTTGAAAACTGAAAGCCGAGGATATCCGCGATACGATTGTACCGTAAGCATATTTTCTACTTGGGACAAAGAAGGGCAACACAGGCTGGCTGGCGGTCGAGCAGTTCGGATTGTCTAGGTATATGAAGAGAGCGCAAAACCAGTGTGGTACAGAATGCACAATAAGTGTTGGGTTACGATAAACTGGTCAGAAACAATGGGGCCCGCCGGAGCAACGTGCTCCTCGAGATCGTGTGCGCGTGTGCAGCCAGCCTTTAACTATCCAGTTACCAACAAAACCGTGTGCATGAGGACGAACGCGTAAGATCGCCGAAACAGCGCAGAAACAATAAGCCCCGTTGCTACTTTTTCCTTCGACGAACGATTTACGCCGTCACGTGTGTGTACACGTGCTCGACGAGAACGGTGCGAGCGACTGTTGAGAATTGGACGAGATTTCATCAAACTCCCCTGTTCGTACGGTCGACGACTCGAACGTAGATCGCGTCTCCCTCTCTCAGTTTTATTCTATTCCTTTGCAGGAATACACCGTGCGTCATTATCCTCTCGGCGGTAACTTTGTACCGGAACGAAACAAAGAAAATGGGAAACGTTGGATTCACCCGATTCACGATGGAGAGACGATGATTGCGTTAGAAGCAAGTTTCTTTCGAATGCCCTTTTATTTTGCGAGACAATGATTCGCGAGATTCGGAATCGATTCGCGGATCCTTCTCGTATCGCGCAACTTCGAACGGTATAATACACGGATAGTCAGTGGTCGTTGTTCGTGCTCGAGAGCGCAACAAGGGAGCTTTCGTGCTCGTGCTCGAGTGGTCGACGTTTGCTCCGAATTGTAACAGGCTGGCAACGTGTAAGGTAAACACGAATTATGGAGGCTCCTGTATTAAACGTGTACATATATGTACGCGTACGTACACGTGGGGTTCGAAATGAACGAGAGCTCGGTAAACGAAATGCACAAAGCTCGCTGGGATAGAAAAGAAAAGCCGTGTCCCGATTGTGCTCGGGCTCGCGGCTCGACGCGCCGCGGTAAAATGAATAAATCGGTGAACTAGTTTCCCTTAATGCCACTTCTCCGTGTTCCGTCGTTATCCGCGTGTATGTACCTAAGCGCAGTATATGAAGCAGTACCTATCCGCCAGTGGAGCGAAATAAAAAGGAACGTTTCGAATGTCTCACGCGATTGTTGCACGCGACTCGCGAGCGTTGAATAAACTAACGCGAACGTAGCGGCGGGCACAAAAACCGCTGACAAAGCTCGGAAACGCGTGGAAGAAATCCGTGCGCGAGCAGGCAAAGCGTGAAGAAGAGAGGAAAGGATCGCATACCTGCGGAGCAGGTGTTCCACCGAGACCGGCTTTTCGTCCTCTTTCTCTTCGCGCTCGTCGACGTGCACACGTGTAATGCGTGCACCTACCAGCCCGCGCCAGCTACGCGTTCCAATCTTTGCTCGTATGTCTTATCTTTGCGCGCCGTTTTATACAGTCGCGCGTACGTATAACCACCGATGAGAGATCAGTACAGAGTGGTAGCCTTATGAGACTTCGTGTCGCACGAAGAAATCAACAATTTCTGCCTTCCTCGATGGTGGAACGTTCGAGGAACTTAGAAAATGTCGATCAGTTGTATATTACAACGTCGAAGCGTTTTTCGGACACGAAAATCTCGCACCTTTTCTGAAATCGCCCTCGGCAGCGTACGATAAATTTATCCGAGAGGGTCTCCTTCCTCTCTTCTTTGTCAGTTGTTCAACAAGGGTGAACGAAACGACCAAAATAACCCCGAGCAGACTGCTCTCTGCTTTCCAGCGTCGGACAAACGCGTAACCACAGGATGCGCTCGTTCTTCGGGGAACAAGTATCGTTATCCTGTCGGACGTTATCAGATGCCGACTCCGAAATCGAGTTTAATTTCGGTTAAAGAAGAATCGATGCAGATTCTATAACATTATGCTCGATTACGGAAGAGTTAACCGGCGCCCGTGACGGTTGGCGGCACGCTAGAACCCGGTAATGAGATTAATTACCGATAACGAGCTTCCTCCGAGGAAGAATCCATTATACCCGTCGTTAACGATGTCGCCAAATTTCCCCCAGTCGATTTCTAAGGAACGGCTTATTCCTTCGGATTCATCGATTCGCGCCGGGTCTCATCGTCACCCTTGATCCGAACGATTAATTTCGATAGAAAGTTGCCCAAGACTGTAACTAATTAGGACGGCCGTTTGTGCTCGCGAGGGAAGCGTGCGTCGACCGTTTCCGAAGAAAGTAGCCGAAGAAGGTGAGAACGAAAGGTGGGAACGCGCGGGCAACGTGAAAGAAGAGCGAGAGTAAGAGTGGCTCTTGATAATGACGTAACCCCTCGACGAGAGTCTTTCCCACGAGTTTCTTTAATATAAGTACGCGGCCTGTGTGGCTGGAGATAGGGAGCGAATGGCTCCTGAAACATTACTTCCACCTTGAGGGTGGGTGGCCGTCTTCTCGGCATCGTTTAGCCCTCGTTCAACCCGATACGGTCTTATAGGTGCTAGGGTTACTTCCATATCAGTAGCAGAGTGTACATTGGATCTCTCTCTCTCTCTCTCTCTCTGTGACTCTCGTTAATCATACGAATCTCGGACAGCCGCTCTGTACGTTCACTCGAGGCGCATTACGCGGTTTAATTTGATTAAGCGAGTAATATCGAGAGCAAAGCGAGCAGCGTTTTAATTCGACGGTAATTCAGTGCTCGGGTTCAGTTCGAATGAACCGCGTTACTCGACCGAGACGAATCTCGCGAATTCGCTTCAGGTTCTCGAAGGAAAGGTATACGATCGCTTGCTCGTTGGTTAGCTAAGCGGAAACCCTTACGAACCAGCGTAGCATGGCAGTGGTAACAGACTAACGTGCATACGTACGTACGTGGCACGTGCCAGCAGCAATTGTTACGCAACATGGCAACGATGAATGAACCCGAGGACTCGGCGGTGCGTTGACTTTCACGGGAACGAGGCCTGGCAATTATCAATTCTCCATGTTCGTCGATCGAGTATTATACTCGATTAACGATCGATGAAACGCCAGCGCGAGCCCAACCACGAGAATGCCGAGGATTAATAATAAATCTCCTACGCGACGGAACAGATATTTACTGTTGTCGCGTGGGCATGCAATATTAAGTGCATCAATGATCGCAGTTGCTCTTATTCCACCGCAGGACTCGTTTGGTCCGCATGTAGTAAGCTCGTTTCCGCGCAATACCTTCCACCACCGTTCGATCCCGAATTCCCTCGTTTCTCCCTAGCCTCGCTACTCCCCTCGCCGTGGGACAATCTAATCTCGAGCTATCGATCTTAATTACGCCCCGAGTGCTCCTTAAGTAGCGTTCAATGGTCACGTTCGCAGCATTTCGTTCCGTTTCGTTTCGTTAAACGAAGTACCTGTGAACTCTGATTCCGATTTCCAATGCTCGACGATGTGAATCGATCTGCATGCTGCACGGTTCTCCGTTGCACAGAGTTCGAGGGGTCATAAGAAAAGCGGCGATCAAAAATCGGACGGGCATTCGGTATTTTCGTGTATGGCCAAGCGAAAGCATGCGGTGGGAACGATCGATAAACGAAACGCACACTGACCTTTGTGCGAATCCCGATCCTGGATTCGACGGCGGCTCTCGGCGAAGGTGGACACTCTTCGGGGAAAAAGTCAAATTGCTCGACACTGGAAACTATGGATACTAGCGATTTCCCTCGGCGACGAGATCGTTACATTCTCGCGAATAGTCAGACTCACTACCGAGAACGAGGAACTACGTGCAACTAGGATTTACAGAAAATAACGAAACTGTCGCTAACATCTGATTACCGATTCGCACTCGCCCGTGGCTATCACCCCGCGAATAGCTGCATGTCCCGGCAGGAGCGACGATTCGAAGATCATGATCGTCCTTTCAAAATGCAACGTTAACGTCACTGCACATCGCACGTGTCGCGTTTTAATATGCGCCGTCGTTCGTTGGTATCGCGCCTCGGTTAAGCGATCAGCGGAAGTGTCGATCTATCCGTCCGCGGGTTCGCTCGATGCGTGGTACGAGAACAGGACCGATTCCGCGAGGAGAACGTCGAAGGGAAAAGCAAAAGGATGCGACGCGGTTAACGTCCACGTTCTCTCTGAGGCCAGACCGGCGCGGCAGCTCGAACATAGCGCGCATCTGCGCTGCGCATTTCCTCCCTTCGTTTAGCTACCTACCAACATGTATTTTATTCTGCCCCCGCCATGCCGTACCTCTCATTGCGCTACAGGGGTTCTCTTCTTCTCTTCGCTTCTCTCCTCTCGTCTTATCCCGATCCGTGGCACGACACCACCGCCCGCGGCCGCGATTCTATTAGGTATTTTATCGACTTTCTTTACCTCGCTGTGTTCTTCTCCTTTTTCCGGATAACAACCGAATTTACCCGGAATCGAATCGCTTACTGTTCCCCATTTGTGTACCATTTTCCGTTTCATCCCTTGCCCCTGCGAATCGATCGGCGACGCTATCGCCGGCGAAATAGTAATTATCGCCCGACCTAGTATGCGCGGTGCTTACTTCTGTACGCCGTCCGTCTAAAATCGCAGCAATTAATCGCTGAATTCCCTTGCGAGCGCGCGCAACTGGAAAATGATGTACTCGCAGTAGCAACGGCGGAACTACTCATCCGCGTAGAAAGCATCGTTAAACTTTTTCAATTTACGAGTTTCGACGTTCGAGCGAGTGCGCGCGTGCATATGCACGAGAGCGTTCCGTTTTTCCACTCGGGGCTGTCTGTTCACGCATATGAGAACGAGGAACAATTTAGCATCAGATACGTGAGGTGACGCGAGAATTTTTATCGCCCGAGGTCGGCCTCTTGATCCCGGAATCGAATCATCCGCGAAAACGTCCACCCCGGGGGCGACGGTATTCGTTTCTAATAGCGTTTATCCTGGCTCACCTCTTCAATCCCATTTCCTCTTTCGTCGACGCGATCCAGACTTTAATGTCCGGAACGAGTTTTCATCGAGAGAAATATTTCCGCTTGTTCAACGCTCGAACCATTTTCCCCCCTTGCCGATTGGCACGGATTAAAATTTCCTCACTTCCGCTGGAGACTTATCGAGTATCGAACGATACGATCGCGTGCGCGAGAAACCACGATCTGTGGTCAAACTCGACTAGACGAATTCCACGTTACACGCGTGTGCCTTACCGCTGGAAGAAACGTATTCGACGAGTTTGATCACCAGCGAGCGCACGAAGAATAAAGAAAGAAGGGAAAGAAACGGGGGAAGCGAGAGGCAGCGCGAAGGAAGAGGACGGAGACTAGGCAGCTGATCGTGATTGCCGAAGTAGAGGCGATTTAAAAGGTTGCCGGCTATTTCTTGCGAGTTTCGGAGCAACCGGTATCCGAACAACTAGTCGGCAGATGGCACGCGCTCGGTCGAGGCCTTGACTATACCCGTACCAGTCCCTTCGGAACCCTTGAAAAAAATCTCTTTCTTCTCTCCTCGCGGCCATCCCTAATGAGCGCGGCTAGACGAAATTAAGCGTACGCTGAATGTTCTAAAGTCTCTTCTTTCTCCGGGGCAACAAGCAAAATTTTAACGAAACACGATTCTTGTGTCTATTTATACGTTCGGAGGAATATTACAATTGCGAAAGAATTGATCGATTAATTAGACGAAAGATCTCGAGGGAAGCGTCGGCGAGTGTATCAGATCTGCGCGCGTTCTCGTGTGTCTCCTGGAGGAGCAGGTGCGCCATGTATCACGGAAAACCAGTCTTTTTCTTATTGATCCTGCTTCTGCCCTTTGGACCGCTACCAATCCCACCTGCCGATCACGTGGCCTCCGCTGGCCACTCAGCGGACCACTACGATTTATTATATTTCTCGATATGACACGTTCCCCGGGTTTCTGTGTTTTAAACTCGTCCGGAGGTGTGCGCGCATTACGAACCGGGGGTAACGGGTACGCGCGAGAGACAGAGAGAGAAAGAGAGAGAGAGAGAGGGAAAATCTGAAGTTAGTAGACTTTGTAATCTGTAAGCGCGTTCCGTGGCAATTTGTAATCCAATATGATCAATCGAGCGAATGCACCGAAGCCACACGCAGCTAGACGCGTCACAGCTTTTTGAAGACCACCTGTCGGTGTTGCTCGTTACCCGATAACGATTTGCATACACAGGAGAGGGAGAGAGGAACGCGAAAATGTTGCATGCCGCGCGTTGGTCTATCGTCTATCGCCACGCTGGAATGCTCGCCGCGCGCTTATCTTCCTCTTTCCCCGTTAATCGCGTCACGGTACTGATTGTAATAGAGGCGCAAGAAGTAATGTAATTGCACTTTGCGATCTCGTGCCGTTCACGCCATAACGCGGGTCAAATTAAGAGCGAAACGAACGTCGCGTAATCAAATAGAGTTTCTTATTGCAGAGATTGAAGGGGATGAAAATAGGGCAGTTATCTCAAACAGTTACTTTATTTAAATATAGTACAGTCGGCTCACAGCAATCACGCTAAAAAAATACACTCGCTGATCGTTCGTTACTATTACAATTAAATACACCGTTCTTATTTACAATTAAATAAACCGTTCTTATTTACAGATTCTGTTAAAAGTCGTCCTCGTCTTCCGTGAGATCATATGGATTCTCTAGGTCTCTTCTCTGGGCGATGCATTGCTGCACCTCGTTGTCGGACACGTGCGGTTCGCCCTCCATGAATCTGGCGAACCTAAAATGAAGCGCGTTAGTATTCGTCGCAGTTTCTCGATGATATGTCCAAGCGTCGATAACAACCTTATCGGATCTCTCAGTCTCAGAACAGTTTTCCACGGATTACAATCGGGACTAGAGCAATATTCTTTCAATTTGGTTAACGCATTCTTAGTTTCCTTTACTCCCTCTTTGCGGTACTCGACTTCCGTTAATAATTTTCTCCGTATGGGAAACATGCTCTTCCTGATTTCGAACAAGCGTGTAGATACATGCAACAATACAGGTACTTGCTTTTCTGAACAACGACACTGAGACCCGACGTTACTCGCATTTTATTTATTTATTATTCGTAAAATCGGAATATCACAAATCGACAGAGAAACAATCCGAGGAAGCGTATTAAAATTCTTGAACAGAATCGTATTCATCAATCTTCACTTACCAATAATTCCGTCCCTTTCGAAATAACGGAGTAGCAAAATTGTAAAGGAGAACGTTTATCACGCAGCAAAGCAAGGACGCTTCGCGTAAGTAACTGCTATAGTACATGGCACACAATCCTGCTATCTAAATGAATTAGGAAGAGTGTAACATTTTTTTTAATTCTTTATCGCGGGCTTTGAATACAGACCTGCAAGAACCATTGCATAATTTTTTTCGTTCTGGGATTCGTAACCGGACCGAACCAATAGCAAATTATGAAACTGACGCCGGATACCGATAAAATGTACCATACGATCATCTCTCTGTATTGTAGCGCAATTAGTTGGGCATTTTCCCATAGGAAATGAAACAGGTAAAAGCTCATTGTCCACCCAGTGACGACCATTAAGTACATTAATTTACCCTTAAATCGTTTACGGTCTCATTAGTATCACGAGGTCGAGACATACGAAGTTATGTACAAATAACACATACAAAGATCATTTACCCTCAGCAGAAACTTGCTAGTGAAGTACACTAAGATCATGAACGATGTAATGAGTCCAAACATTATGCCACAGAAATAATAAAATAACGCGCTCTCACTTAGTTTACGAGCACTCCAATATAATACAATTCCTAACACCATTAATGCTACTTGGATGTTGTCGACACCTATTTATACAACAATCGAATGCTCTTAGTTCATTTATTATAGATGTAGGACATTTTTTTTATCTTTGATTCTTATGCGACACTCACTGTCATGAGTTACGCTTAATGTGTATGTGAGCAAATTGGATCGGTACATGTCTACACCAATGCAGAAGTTTTCAAATGGACTGAATTTTAACTTGACATTCTTTTTCGTAGTAAAAAAATTTAAACCCCAGGACCTCTGCTTGTCATGATGCTTCTGTACCACTTCGTCAGGAGTTTTCCCATCGTAAAGGTCTAAGTTATCTATACTTGCATCTAAATGTATCTGAAATGCAATGTACGTATGTATAAGTGTAACAGTAAGATGCTTTAAGATCGAATGTCTTACTGTTAAGCTTTTCCACATGTTCATCAAATATTTTTTATCAGCAGTGTAACAAAAGATCTCCAACCCCACATAACAATTTGTAATCATGTCTCCTGAATTTAAGTGGTGTACTAAAACAAGTTCAACCAGTGAACATCGAACAACTGTATTAAAGGCTTGGTTCTAGATTTTTTCTTAAGAGAATTAAAGGCAATCATTATATTTAGAACGAGAAACTAATAACTTATAAACAGAGTGTCCCAGAATTAGTGTTAGGCCTTCAAATGGGGAGGAGTGAGGTGATTTTAAACAACTTTTTCCTTTGCAAAAATGTTGTCCTGGACGTGGTTGTCGAGTTATTATCAACAAATCGGGACCAATCAGAACGCTCGTATACAAGGCGAGCAGGAGTGCGATAACCGCCTCGTGCGTTGCCGCGGGAATATGCCACGCTCGTGACGAGAACAACTTTAATTCTCTTCCCATTTTTTATAATTTTAGCTACTCTGTAATTTATAAAGTTGTTAGTTATTTCATTGAGTATGTTACATTTGTTCAGCGAACGTAACTAACGACTAATTGCTTTCTTTTCTCTGATATCTAATCAATTTCTTAGTTGCTGTTGCATGTAACTTTTGTTTTAATTCTACATTTCGTTATGGCCGCGTGGCATACGGCCGCGGCAACGGACGAGACGGTTATCGCGCACCTACCCGTCTTGTATACGAGCACTCTGATTGGTCCCGGTTTGTTGATAATAACTCGTCAACCGTGCTTCGGACAACATTTTTGCAAAGGAAAAAATTGTTTAAAATTACCTCAGCTCCTCCACATTTGAAGGCTTAAAACTAATTCTAGGACATCCTGTATAGGTTAGATACGACTTACCTGATGGTGTGCTAGTAGGTTGAAGATTGGTTGCTGAAGAATCTTTATGAAAACAGTTGCAAAATAGTACGATAATAATAATACTCAGTCGTCGCATTGTTCGGCCGTTCGTTACACGTTTGATACTAATAATAGTGGCTACTGTAACTTCACTCACGAGAGGTCCTGGACGGAATCGTAAATACTGAGAATTAGTAGCACCTCGTTTGAAATTTCTACATCGATACTGTGTCTCGATGACGAATATCGAAATTTTCTATAAACAATTTCACGAAGTGGAACTTCGAATCGTGCAGCGGTAAAACTTCTTACAATCGCGGTCGACTTCTTCGGGAAGAATAGTACCCGATATTTCGATTAATTCGTTAGGGTGCGACAGCGTGTGAATCAGTGTTATTGTTATCGTCCGGTTTTTCTGGTAGCTTCTAGATATTCGAAATGAGTCAGTTTATCGTCGTGCAAGGTACGCGGTTTATACAATCGAGGATGCCAAAATAGTTGGAGACAAATAGTAAGAGGATTTAATTGCAGTTGGAC